ATCCTTTAATGATGAAAGGGAATTGAAGTTCTAAGGTCACAAATGCTAACTCAAATGATTTAGCATAGGAGATCTCTTTAATATCTCCTCCAAGGGTTTTTCAAAACTCAAAATGAGGAAAATGGGGTAAAACCCTAAAATTGCAAGTCAAAACCCTCTCTGATATCACAGAAGCAGACCCATGTTCTCTTACGTAACCATCGCATTTGCGAACCGCCTAGTGATTGTCCATCGCTTTTGCGAGCCGACCTTCGCTGAAGTGAAGGTCGTGAAAGCGAGGGTCAGCCCACCTTGCTAACATGATCTTTGTGAAAGTGAAGATCCCATCGCAAAAGCAAAGGCATCAGACACCAGCAACACACTGCCAATAACAAAATCATCGAATGAACTCTCGGGATTCGTTTGAAATTTCGTACACATAAATCATACATGCAACTTGACTATACTCAATGTTCCAGACACAATGAAACCATCGAAACACAAATCTCAGGTCTTCTTGACCCGAGACCCGTGTAAGTCACAAGGAACTAATCATAATATCTAAAAAGGTTAAATCAAGTTCGGGACCTCTAAAAACTCCATCAAGACCTCTTCTAGGCCTAAAATCATCCCCCAAATTCAACAGAACTGTTGAAAATTCAATACGAGCATCCAAACCCTGAATGTTGACCAAAGTCAATCCAAAGGCTAAAATCTCAACAAATTTCCAACTTAGGACCTCAAATCCTCAAAAAGACTCCAAATTTGAAACCAACAACTCTCTTAGACCGATTTCCACATTTCGAGACAGATGGAATCGACAGAATTCCATTCTGACTCTCGAATCTCCAAAAGATACCAAAAATCACTCTTTAACAACTTTTGCCTTTCAAATTCAAAAACTCTCAGAATTCACAACTTTTTACTCAAAGCTCGAAACCAATTTCAAAATCCAATCAAAAATGACTCGGGATTGATATCAGGAGAGCTAAAACGACAATATTGTGAAAATTTCTCAAAATGACCATTCGAGTCATTACATTGTCATTACTATCATTTGTAAAATAAACATTAATTATAGCATGAACGAACAATCTTTCACATTACATTCCCAAGCCATTAATTATCACATGTGTGGTAAAACACTAATCAAAGTTCTGTCACTAATAGTTATTTTATCCCTACAAAAAATCACAACCCCTAACCTCAATCATCGAATTTTCTTTCTTCTATACTTGTATGTAGATCGGTAGACTCATCACAAGTCATTGTTATTCTGCCAAGTTAGTGCTGGTTCGAGCCAAAATTTTCAGAAAAATGCAGCCATTTATTTGGTTGAAATTTTAGGACCTTTTTGTTGTAGTATGTACAATATGTAATTGACATTTATTTTTTTGACAATACATATTTTAATGATAAAATTTATTCATATTAAAAATAGAGATCATTTAAAAAATATGTTTGTTGTTACCCCTTCTAAATTTGTCTCTTACCTTTGATAATTTCATTAAAGGTTTTACATATATTTAAATCGACATATTCATACCACGAGAGACTATATTATCTTAATTAGTTTCACATATTTCTTGTTTGATAGCAAATGCACCTTCCATTTTATGATTTTTTTTTTATGAATAAAATGTAAATGATAAAATTAATATTGTTTATTTCAACATTTTCTATTTTATAACTCAACTTTTTAAACATATAAAAAAAAATTGTAATAATAATAAGGGACACTGGAAAGCTCCTTCCTATAAAGTTGTGTTACCACTTTGCCCCTTTACTAAATCAAAATTTAATTAAATGTCTATTTTAATTACATAATTGAAGTCCAATAGCTCCACTTTTGTTAATTAGTAACTTAAGAATTAGTAACTGAATCATAAAACAAGGCTTACATATCAAAATCTTTACTGCTTTAACAAACAAAAAAAAACACTAAATCTTTACTGCCAATTATATTGTTTTGCCTCTTCAAATCTACCAATTATATTGTTTTGCCTCTTCAAATCTAAATCAGTTGCAACTTACAAGATAATCATTATCTATAAAAGAAACATATAATATCTCATACAATGTATTACCTCTCATAATATGATCTTTTGCACTATTTAATATTTGTCTACCACTTAATAGAAATACCTTTGTACCTCAAAAAAATAAGGGATTGTAATATTTATTGTTTATATTAAATGAAATGCCAAAAAATTAAACGTAAGTTGATTAATTTTATTAAGTTATCACTATTACTTAAAGAAGTTGTATATCATAAGTCATCTTCGTACATGCTCCTCTAAATTTTCATTTCTCCCTTACACTTTTTACGCTTTATCAATTATCAATCAATCATGTGAATATAATTCTTTATATTTTTCATAATTATTATTTTTTTTGGAAAATTTTGCAAAGAAAAAACATTTCGAATAAGGTCATTTTATTATTAAGACCATATTTTTTTCATTTTCTCAGTTTATACTTAGGACTCGAGAGCTAATTTTATGGATACTTTTATTTATCATTTTTCTAAAATAAATAGCCTCATGGAATTAAGGAACATTATAATTTAGAGGTATAGTCAAAATAATTTAAGACATATTACTCTACTAGTCAAAATAATTCCATTTAACCTTTTAATTCATTGCAGTCCTCACCCACAGCATGTAGGAGCACATTTAATGTTGATTCAACCTATTTTGGAGATACATGTAGGGTGACAATTTCAACCCATATAAATGAAATAAATCCATTTTTTCATATTAAATTAAATGGATCACTCATATTTTTTTAAATGGGTAAATATGAAATCTATTTAAGCTCATACAAATATGGACAGAATGAATAAACATGAAAATCCATATATACCTATATATCACTCACTTATCGTAAAAATCTCTAATGCACTATTTGTTTTTTAAAATAAAAAAAATAAAATAGGAGGGTCTAAGGATGGCTGGGGGGAAGTGTCCGGGGTGGAGGTGGGGGTAGGGTTGGCAATTATTGTTAAATTTTCAGTCTTATTTTACTTTCATATTTTTATCATTATATTTGGATTTAGGCTAACTTGTTTGATAGGATAAGACGAGTGTCATCACGTCTATTTTTAGATCGTGATAATTTTCCATCCAACTAAACCTCAACAATACATGTCTATGTCTCAGTAGACCAATTCTGCACTCCCCTTTAATATTACATTGTTTAGAAATTTTAGTACGTGCCTCCTCCAGTTTAGGCCATTCATATGAGAACTTCTCGATAATAGCATACTGAAGGTTTTCAACCTTGTTCATCATTGGTACTTCTTCTGTCCATATGACGCTAGGTATTCTATTTACATAAACAAATCTCGCTCGTCTTCCTCTCATTTCGCTCGCCACTCTCATATCTCGCTCCGATATTTGGTATCTCAAATATATGTAAATCACACCAAATACATGTATATAGTGTGTGTATATAATGTGATTCGTATATGAAATACATAGACAAATCTTGCCCTCCTCCCTCCCCTCTGCTCGTCACTATCATATCTCGCTCTACTATTTGGTATCTCATATTCATGTACATAGAGTAACTCACATGTATCTGAAATACATAGACAAATATTGCCTGCCTCTCTCCCACCCCGTTCACGACTCTAATATCGTGCTCTTGTATCTGCTACCCCAGATACATGCAAATCACATTAAATACATGTATAGGTATATCAAATGTGCTTCACAAGTATCTCGTATGCATAAAGAAGTTTCTCTTGCCTCCCTCCCGTCTCACTCATCATTCTCATATCTCGCTCGCGCATCTGGTATCTCACAGATACATATGAATCATATCAAATACATGTATATAGTGTGTATTTAGTATGATTCACATGTATCTAACTTAAATCTAATATGGAATTATTAAATTGTAAAATAAAATACAGTCATTTCAAATTATAAAGAGAATTAGTACATATGGTAAAAACATTTGTAGTTTCCCCTTTTTAAGACCTTCTGCTTTTAAAGTAAAAGAGATTATACATGACCTATATAATCCAAATCTAAACAACCCATCTTAGCACAAGAACGTATGAAGAGTGGAAACATAAACCTAATATGCAGGAATTCACAAGCCTTTAAAAAACCATGGCACTATCACTAAAAAATACAAAAAAATTAACTTAAATCAATGACAATGTAGGAAGAAATAGGAAAAGAAAGAAGAAGACTTGGAGAGGGTAAGGTCAAGGAACATGGGGAATTCCAAAAAGATTTGGGGGGAGGGGGATGGAGGTAAGGGCCTGGGAGATGGAGAAGAAGAAGTTTTTAAAAGTTGTTTTTTTTTATTGTTATTTAATCTTCTTTTTCTGAATGTAAAATATTTAATCAACGATCGAAGATGGGTTTTAAAATCCATATTTTGATCAAGTTCAAGTGTTCAACAAGGATCAGGATTACAATCCAAGATAAGTACATGAATCTCCCAAAGTCATTCCGATTTTATTAAAGTGTATGATTATATATATTTTAATAGAAAGGTATCAGAAAAGTTGTATTTCATTGTAAGCTAACAAAATCATTGGACCCCTACATACGAGTTTTGGTCAATCGACATTTTGATATTGAAAATTTCCACTTATGAAGTAATATTGATAAATAGAAGATATATGCCACTTGACAGCAAATAGCCTGCCGGAACAGATGGGAGGAAGGAAACAAACAATAATAGTAACAGTAGGGGTTAAAAATAAAATAAGCAGAAAGGGAATTTGAAAGATGCACCCTTCTACAAGATGGGTTACTTCTCTAAAAGGATATCATATTTTTCTTCAGGTATAACATTAAAAGGACATTGAAATAATCACACAACAGTAAGAAAGTGGCAAGCATAATTTGTATCCAAGCAGAGCATTTATCCACTATTTTGTCATCATTTAGGATCTATCTCAGCCAGAAGGAACAAAGCCTATCCTCACAGAGGCGGGGGGAAGTCTTATTTCTTTTCTTTTAAACTTCCCAATTTTTTTTTTTTGTAGCCCTAGTGTTGTATGGGAGGAATGAGGTGGTGGGGGACTTGAGTTTCTCAATAGGATACAGATCAACCGACCCTTTACATATTGGGTAAACAAACTACTTGTACAAGAGGTCACACAATCTAAATAAGGAAACTGAGCCAGGAAGATGTACACCACTCTTACTCTGTATGTTGTTACGAGTGAGTAAAGCATTAGCACACCTCATTGCTTGATATTCAATCTAGAAGATTGGATTTCTGAATCAGAATGGAGCAATGCCGGAGGCAAGGGTAACCTCCTCATCAGCAGGGTAAAGGCAACTTTTGATATGCTGAATATTACATTTGCTGTACTATCAATTTCATCCTCATACTGCTCATAAATGAGGAATGAAGTGAATGCCAGTGCTAGCGCTGCAGTGGTTTTGAGTCATGTAAACAAACTACCAGATATGGACTTCAATGCAACCATTAAGCATAAAAATGTAGCGTAACACATACCTATACCAAGTGCAAAAGTCAAGCAATCCGAAATAACCAACTTCAAAACATATAGGGGTATTGCAGCCTGCAGAAAATAAGAAAACTTTTAGAGGTGCAACACAACCTAAACAGTAGATTCAAGGACAGACTACAAACACTATTTGCAGTCTGACCCAATTGATAGCCATTTTAACATGTCCATTCTAATTAATCATCAAATAGATGAGGTCTAATGTATCTCACAATCAGTTTCTTTTCCCAAGGTCAAATGTCTCACTCTTCTTGATACTTCATCTGCTAAATCTATTGTCTACGATTAGTTTCTTTTGGCACACATCCAAAAGCTTAAATTCGTTTGTTTTACCCAACTCTCAGTTCTAATTACTTACACGAAGTGCAATATAACTTCTAGGAATGATCAATGCCGCCCATTTGTTTGACGTTATTCGAGTTTTTGAAAAAAAAAATTGTTTGGCCTTTTTGAAGATTGGAGAGGAGAACTCAGACACTAGATCTGGAGTATTTGAAAAACCATGTGGAAATCATCCAAAAACACTATTAAGGCTAAGCAAACTCAATTTATGGAGAACACTTGCTCAATTTAAAATTAGTAAAACGGAAGTACGAACATGAATTCATTTAGTACACACCTTCAGAAATATATGCCAATCCTCTCCTTGGGCAAGTAACCTTGCTAAATGACTCACTCTGTTCCACATATATGCTACGTTGTAAAAGCAATTTCTCATATCCACTTCAGAGATCTCAAAGAAGGACCATGATATTCTGGGAACTGAAATCCCATATCTGCAGCAAAGACGTCATTATTGGAGGAATACAAGCATCCCATGCATAAAATAACTACTGAAACCTTTTATCAAAACAATATAAAAAATTCTGAAACCTAAAAACAGGGAACTGGAAGCCGGTAAGTTCATTATGATATAATGCTGTGAATCATCAAAAGCTCCTAATTGGGAATAGATTATTTAAACAATTCATAGGCAATTTTTAAAATAGAGGAAAACAAAGAACGGGCCTATATCCCCATGAAATTCCACATAATATTTTGAGATTTTTACACTCTACATTACTTGGCTAAGCTTACCCTATTTAGCCCATTTTCAGATCATAGCCTATTTAATCCATTACTTATATAATTTAAAATAATTGGGGAAAAAACAATAATTTCTGAATTTGTGATCATGATTTTCATTTTTTGATGCTTAGAAACTGATTGATAGTGAAATTCATGTTTATTATCACAGATTAAAACATTGTTGGGTGAAAGAGTTGAAACTTAGGAACCCGCCATCATTGGGGTTTTCAAAAGCTTGAAAACCCATTGTGAATTTTGTGATTTGTTGAAATTTTTGGCAAATTGATGACTGAGGCTCATTGCGGATGTTATTTGGAAGTTGTGGTTAGAACTTTAAGCTATTCAATGAAGATTTAACACAGTTAGGATGGAGTTTTGTGGTTGAAGTTCATAGGAGATGAAACCCAGTTTTTGTAGAAGTTTGTATAATCTTATATAACAATGTAAAAGTGTGTATAAACCTATGTTGTGGGGACTATTCATTTAGCCGCCACACTCCTGTCGACATGACGTTTGGTAATAGTAAGTGTGGGATTCGTACGGGGAGCGGTCAACTGAGATTGAGTACTATGACCACAATCCATGACAAAAATAGAGGAAAAATGGAAAATGGAAATCGAGTTGTAGCCGTTGCCTGTTAGTGCCTACAACTTGAGAAATTCTCAAAATGAAAGATTGAATTGTTGGCTTCACCTCACAACCTTTTAGGCTATCTTTATAGATTTTTTAAGAATTTTGAACTATTTAAAGCCAAATCCCTTGACCCATATCCGTACCCCCGAATCTTAAAATTTAGATTATGAAGGATTCAACCTCTAGATCCACACCTAGATTGGTTACTTGCACTGAAATCCGAGCATCATAGGTATAAACACCTCTTGTACACTATTATACACTTCTATACAAGATTGCTACATTATTTTAAGGTAAATGCATATTATTGTATAATATTGTATAATGTTGTACACCAGATGTATAAACATTGTTGCTAAAAAAAAGTTGGCTATGTGGGTGGAAACTGAAAATGTGGCTACATGGGTGTAATTTGTGGTGCTGGGCTGTATATTTTTAAAATTTTCTCAAATATTTTCCTTTTTCTATAATGATGGGTGTCCTGATTTGCACATATTATTCAGTTGAGCTGACACAACAGAGTTAGGAAGACTTAAAAATAGGGATGGCAATGGGGCGGGTGGAAGCTTAACCCGCAAAATTTTAATCCGCCCCGCCCTACCCCGCTTAACATTTTTTTCTATTCTTAACCCGCCTCACTTATGTTATATCAATTTTTTTTCTTTTCTTTATTATGTTATTTGCTAAAACAGTACACAAATTTAACTTTTTATTATATGTTTTTAACAGTGAAGATCTAGTTTAATTATTTTCTTAGTTGTTGTTTTGTTAAAACACACCAATTAAACAGTTTCTACACCTCATATATCATAAATAAATTCTATTTTGTTTACAAATCATTTCAATTAAAATTTCCTGAACTAAATTTGAGTACTTCTTTGAAAACCATAGAGAAAGAGTGAAGATGGTAATAGACTAACAGTTAAGAGCCGAGAGATTAAGAAAAGTGAGAAAAATATTTCAACCCGCTTCGCCCTGCTTAATTTCTTAAAAAAATTACTCCAACCCGCCCCGCAACTGCCCCGCTTAAGGTTAGACTTAGACCTGCCTTGCCCCGCAACCGCCCCACCCCATTGCCATCCCTACTTAAAAAGGGAAGATGTTGGACCTACAGGTAAAAGTAATGTTAAAGGATTTGTAGTGTTCTGATTCACCCTTACAACAGGATGAAGTAGCATCAATCAGTTCTTTTCACCTTTTATTTTACTTCATGTGGGAGGTGTTCAGGGAAGCACTCACTTCAGTTGCATATATATCTAACATGTCACATATACTATTCTATTTTATAACTTCAATGCATTAAGGTTCATATTAGGGATCGCATGACACGTCCTAAGAATATGATTTATATCCAGTTGTCGCATAAAAAAAAATAATATACCAAAAAATTTCATCTCCTTGATGAAGATATGATAGGACTTGTCTGTCCAAACATTTCTTTTAGGACAGCTTTCTATTCAAAACATTTAAAGACAGTATATTCAGTGGCTTACTTACATTGTTGGTGGAAGAATGCTGTATCCCCAGAGAGCAACAGCAATCATCAGTAGAAGCTGGGAAAGAGATGAAAGAAAACTCCTCCCGGCCAGGAAGAACCAGTAATGGATGAAAACCAGCAAAAGGAAACAAGTAAATGTTCTCTGCTCATCTCTCCACAATAAAATTTCTGCAACTGCACTAACATTATATATTGTTATTTAGAGGTAACCAAGATGGTACAATGAAGAACTGTGATTTCAATAATCAATTTGGCAGATGCAGAACAAAAGCGAGAAGTAGAATCAGACTGGCATAAGAAAACTTTAACCACAACCCCTCATCCCACAAAAAGAAAAAGCTGCAACTGTACAATAGTAACAATATTAATACTTAGGGGTCGTTTGGTGTGATGGATAAGATATATTAATCCTGAGATAACTTTTTAGTGGCCCTTAATTCATTGTTTGGTTGCAAAGGTAGGGATAACTAATCCCAGGATTAACAATTAGTCCTGGGATAAGTTATCCCTCACTAGGGGTGGTATAGTAATCCAATGGGATAAAGTGTGTAAATTAACAAAAATACCCCCCCTTAAACTCTCTTTTATACACCACTTTTACATTCATACATATTAACATAATTTTTAACAACATAATAACATTCACAACCTTAGTTATTCGATGTTTTTATGATAAATATATTTTTCTATTAAAAATTTACATTTTAAAAATACAATTTTTATTTATGAATATATTATAAGTTGAATTTATTTGTGTAATTATTATGTTTATTTATATTTTGATTTCTCTTAAAATGTTCACTCCACTACTAAATTACATATTTTTCATTAAATAGTTTATTACTCACTTAAAAATTATATTTTATCTATAATTAAAATGTAGATAACTTTAATAATAAATTTTCTTTTACTTTAATAAACTTAAAATGAAAGTTTTATTTTTAAGCTAAATAAGATGAAAGTTTTATTTTTAAACTAAATAAGATGAAAGTTTTATTTTTAAGCTAAATAAGATCAAAATCTTATTTTTAAGCTAAATAAGATGAACATTTTATTTTTAAGCTAGATAAGATGAAAGTTTAATTTTTAAGTTAAATAAGATGAACGTTTAAATTTTAAACATACGGCACAATCATGGAAATGCACACACAAAAATATTTAAGCTAAATAAGATGGAAATTTTATTTTTAAGAATAAATAACTAAAGCTTGCAAAGAAAATGCAAAAAACAAAAACTAAATAAGGTGAGGGTATTTTTGTAAACAAACAACTTATTCTCAAAAATTATACAATGAATATTAGTTTGAATATGACAAACCAAACAAGCAATAAAAACTAATCCCAACGTAACTTATCCTAGCATAACTTATCTCAATATAACTTATCCCAGCATAATTAATCCCAATATAACTAGTATTCAAACCAAACGACCCCTTAGTCTATTAGAATCTATGGGTATACAAAATTTTCTCCTAAATTTGATGTCGCTCTATATTTGGGTTGCCAAGGAAGTTTCTGTGATGTGCTTAAAACCAATTCTAAGATGCAAACTCAAATTCAGTCTCAGAAGCACACCAGAATTGGGTCAAAACACCAAATTCGAGCATGACTATTGTGGTCAAAACACCAAACTCGAGCATGCCTATTGTGGTCAAACACAATACTTTCTCCTGAGAGAAGTTCTGGAAAATGGGCGTTAGAGAAAACTGTGGCAAGTCAGTTCTCTCTACCAGTTCATGAAAAAAATGTAGCTTTTAGGTGAAGAAAAATGCCTAGAGGGTTTATTTTTGTATTTCCACTAAATCAAATAAACTAGAAAACCACACTTCTGCAAGGCAAGAAATTTCACAAAGTAACATACCAACCTTTTCCACCTCCTAGAAGTTTATGCACTTTTGACTCCTCATCGGTGTCGCTATAGCTTGAGAAAGATGACTCTCTGGTTAAATGAGAGGACTTGGCCGTTAGCGCAACTCCTTCCTGTATCAGAGTTTCACGTCTGTAATAAGCAGGTGAGTCATGTCCAAAAAAAAAAATAGTATAAGCCCTATAGCACATTCAAAAGCAACCCAAATCTCAACCATATTTTCAGCACAGATCAACAAATTTAGGCTACTTACAACAAAATCTGCATACTTATCAACGAACTAGGGCAACTTAAAGAAAAGTAAAGCTTCTTAGAAAAGCAAAGAAGAGATTTGGAAGTGAACACAAATATTGGTTTCTTACTAATTTATTTTCTTGGAAGTGACATTTACATATTTGGAGAAGTATTACAAAATTACAAATTTTCATAGTTAAGATTAAAATTCTTTTATTTGAAAATATTGTAATCAAAGAGAATAATTTAAGTCCCAACAGAACAATATGAGACAGAGAGCAGTTGTTTAGTCACTGTTTACAGCTAATGATAAAAATAAGGATCAAACATACTTCAAGGGAAACAACTGGAGAATATCCAATGTATTTCTGAGCTGCCGAGCAATTAAATCTCCTATGGCACAATGCTAATTCAATAATATCAAAAACTGGCACATTCTCAGTACTCCAGTTGCTCATCCTTGAACTGATCCATTTTATGATCAAAGTAATATATTGGGTAACCATAGCAGGAATCTTGATAATCGACCTGCAATCAGAAAGCACCGAATGTTTCAGGAAGCCACATCACAAAATCCATAATGGAAGGGAAGGAGCAAAGCTACAAAATCAACAAAAGAAAGAAAGATGTAAGTCAAGAATTAAGACAATACACTATGACCAGCCAAGAAAGTCACCAAATAGACAACTTAAGAGTAACATTTATTCAAGTATCAACAGTATATGCAATAGCTAGTGGTGAAGACAGCGACATATGTAAAGAGGGGAAGTAGTACAAGAAAAAGGGAGAAGAATGACGTGTAACAAGAAGTAATGGATGAAAAGAGAATTACTTGGAACAATACTGACTAATTTGGGCAAAAAAGCTCGGTGATTTCTTTCCATTTGCCTAAAAGCCCAACATTGGTGGGCAGGCCTTTATCGGATATTCAGATTCACTGGGAAGATGCAGGTACTTGAAGCAATAGTCAAGGTGCACTCAAGTAGACACCACCGGTGTCACAGAGAGAGAGATAGAGAAGATTTTGACTAATTACACCTCTTCATCAAAGACAAATGAAGAGACAGAATAAAATAAGATAATCAAAGAGAATTCTCTAGCCAAATAAATTGTACAAGAAGACTCTTTGTCATTCCATCTTTACTCACATAAATACCATTGCAAATTCTGAATTACGGACTGGAGATGAAGATAACGACCAAGTTAGAGTTTGATAGCCTTCACAAACCATAAAATCAGAAAGATAACAACAAAGAAAATTTGTTAGCACTTGACAAACTTGTTTAGCTAGGATGTTAGTCATGATGGGAGGTAGAGTTTTGCAACAAGCAGGAACCACAGTACAGTCAATAGTCATGACTGCTATTCACCTAATCGACACATATTTTTAAAAAATCATAAATAGACCTCCTGTCGATGGGAGCATCATCAATAAATATAGACGTAAGAGAATAGTATGCCAGCTACCTTACCTTTGATATCCCAATCTCTGAAATACAAGAGATACAAAATCCTTGAACTTCATCGGCTTGAGATTAGTGATGAAAAAGGCCTACAATGCATGGCATCACACTGTAAATATATTAACCACATCAAAAGGAAACATCGAATAGAGATAGCTAAAAATCCGTACCTTGCCACATACATGGCTCCCCCTAGAACTTAGAGCTTTTTCTGCACATATATGCGCATAGGCAACATTCTCCACATAGGTGAAGTCAGTCATATTGTCACCAAGTCCTATAATAAACTGAAATGAGAATGTCTATTACTTATTCAAAAAGTATGTATACAAAGACTAAACACAGTTAAAAAATGCTAGATCAGAATATTACACCTCCATAATGACTAAAATTGTGACGTGAGAGGAGTCTATGATCTTTTTCCTCTTTTATTCGACGTACATCCCAAGGTGGTTCCTGACACAAAACATGCTGCAAATTCTAATTTCTACACCAATTCCTATTTGCCTACTTCCACAAGGAAAACGAAGGATACTGGTAACAAAGAGCAGAGAAAGAGAAGTTCCATAAAGATTTGAAGCATCTAACGAGTTTAGTAAGAATTTTGTTGGATGCTGATGCTACAACAAAGAACTTAGGTCTAGTCCATCACATCTACACAGGCTTAGCAAAAAGAAGGAACATAATTGATTGGTTTTAACCAACAGAAAAGCAAATAAAAAGAAGGCTTCCAACCTTGCCCCAGCCAGATTTTGCAACACCGACCAGCAAAGAAGAGAGATAATTGTCTCCAGGTCCAAAAACATAGCTGGGACGAAGTGCACAAGTAAGAAGGCCATCAGCATCATTTGCAACTAAAACTAGAGCCTCTGCTTGAGCCTTAAGATCAGTTACCATGTTCACAAACTGCATTGAGAAAGCATCAAAGTGAAAAGAAGAAACTGAGGAAAACAAGAAAATAATGACCTAATGACAAATGTAGAAGAGGGTTGACAGGAATATAGTCTAGTAATTTCCAAATTCAGTTAAACAAGCTCTGAGAAACTTACTTTACTGGAATATGGTAAGGACTCATCCCCACCATGTATATCCTGCCAGCTGTTCAAAACTACATCAGCAGAACTGTTGTATAATAGCCTTTTGACTTTACACTCTTGACAGGCAGAAATGATATTCTTGGCACCTGAAAGACATAATATTCATTCTCAATCAGGACGCCAAAAATTTAAATAGCAAAAATGTGCAATTCACTTAAGTGACTGCGGCATGAAAAATTACCTTGAACAATAATTGTGTAGCTAATATAGAAATCATGAGTGTATGAATCCCTAGCATCCATGTAAAATACAACTGATGCACCATCAATAGCTGCAGGGGAGAATATGATGCAGTAAAACTCAGTCCAACTTTACTTGAGTGGGATAACACAGTTTTCCAGGAAGGTACAGAAAAAAGTAAGAAACTCTAGAAACTGCTTAAACTACAAAAAGCCAAGTTAGATATATTATATATAAACAAAGAATGTCAAACAAGCAATCAAACGACATAAACTGATTGACTAGATCACAGGCCTACTGCATTTCTTAATTGTCAAGAAAAGTACTACTGCATTTCTTAATTGTCGAAAAAAGTACTACAGCATTTCTTTAGGGTGAAAGCACAGAAAGTGGAAGGAATAGCTGGAGGCGGACTAGAAGGGGCTGGTAGTACCTTTCCCTTGTTTGTAGGCAGAAAATAAGTTTAAGAATATTCGTTCCCTCAGAATTCTTTTAACCCTCTCCAAGTATGCAGAATGGACGAAATAAATATCTTTTAATCCCTTGCAGTTGAATCAAAAGAAAGTTAAAAGAGAATAAACACTTCCTACAGGGAAGCAAATTAATAGGGAAATAGGTCAGTGAGTGCCCATCATTACTTCCCCATTCAGAAAACCTCCCAAAACCAAAGATAGAATTAGTTGGATGTCCTTGCAAAGAACTAAGCAAAAAGTAATCATCCATTACAGAATACTGTTGAACATTGTGGCATATCTCAGAATATTGTACTTCCAATCATTCATCATACAAATTAGGGAGTACTTCGCTATTATTAATAAGCCATGACCACCTTTTAAATCTTCATAATGGTGTTTATGTGATGTGTATGCCTGGAATGATGATGTAGGAGTATAAGCCCGGTAACTGAGGACACAATTACTACTTTCATGAAAGGAAAAGTTTCATGGTTTTGTTTTAAAATAAGCGAGCATACAACAATGCAATGTAAAACACTTGGGGTGCTAGGAAAGAGGAAGGAATTTCATAGGAAGTACCTGCTCAAAAGTATCATTGGACATCTTATGGAAATAAGCATACATGTTAGCACACTAAGAGAAACATTTTATCATACATTCCCTTATTGCTTTAGATTCAAATACAAACTGCTACATGAAATATATTCGTTCTTCCAAGTTGAAAGGAAAATAATTTCATTAGCCTTAATTTTCTCTTTCAACAAATCAGGAGGATATTCAGCTTCTGAGTGCTCATCTTCTATCATAAAACCTCTTCCTTCATTTATTCACACAAGATACATGCATCTTGATAAAGTGATGAGTGGTCAAGTAGGGATTTTTTACTTTTTGAAAAAGGAGAGTGGTCGAGTAGGTTGTCATTGATCACACATTTGGGCTTGAGATTTGGTATCAGGAATCAGATTTGAGATAGACCACTTTCATGATAATGTTAGCCAGTGCATGCATGTGAATCTGTTGTTTATTTCCACAAATAATTTGATGTTTCTCTCGTTACTTCCTATTCCATCTTTTGTTCTATTTAAGTGAGCATTCAGTTAGGAGCAAAAGCAAATCCTGTTCAATAAGATTCTTATACATGCAGAAAATAGTTATTTTTTCTTTGGACCATTCTTATACATGCAGAAAATAGTTATTTTTTCTTTGGATCATTCTCAATTTGTGCATATCATCCTTGCGTAGGGTCCATGCTAACCTTCACTATAGTGTTTTGAGTTTTAACCCTATCTATGAGAAGAGAGGTTTCTGCAAATTGCCAAACTCAAGAAATTGTAAGGGAGTAGAACTACAATATTTTGAAGCCATATCCTTCAAATAGAGTTCAAATTATGTTCAATAAAAGAAGCTAACATATATGGTGACCAACACTTAACAGGCCCTAAAACTTGAGTCCACTAAAACAGAATCCATAATTATTTTTTTTGAACTTGGTAACTTAAACAGAATCCATAATTTTCCAACTTAAAGAGTAGTCACGTGCTTTTATTTTTGTTTTCTTTTTTATTTTGTGAGTTAGTCAATACATAATTCATTGAATTCACACCACCTAAAGGTTTGGCCTAGTGGTCGATGAATTGCGTTGAGAACAATGAGGTCTCAAGTTCAAAACTTGGTGGAGGCAAACACAAGGTGATTTCTTCCTGTCCAAGCCTTGGTGGGAGGTAAAAGGTACCCCGTTAGATTACTCAAGGTGCGCACAAGCTGGTCCAAACATCACGGTTATCAAAAAAAAATCATTGAATCACACTAAGATTGTTTCAAACATGATCAACTGGAAATTTTCCTTTACACCATCAAATATATGAACTAGAAGTGACTTGTTAACAATATTTATATATGGCTCATCATTTTGCTAGACCAATCTCCTATTCCTCCCATTCCAAGTAGATCAGAAAAGACAAAGTATTGTGGCCTCACAAAGCATGTTGTTCAGCTTGTCAATACCCTGACTTCTTTTGGTGTTGATCGTTTGTGCCACCATCAATATCATCCACATTACCTCCAACAAAGACAGTGCAAGGTTCCAAATTGTCGTCAACTTGCAATGAACAACATATGGTATGTATCCTTTCCCACTTTATACATAAATAACAACAATTGACAGGACACTTGAAAAATGATGCATCAACTGTATTACAAGGATTCATCAACAACCTACCACAACTCTCATTCGTTTATCTTTTAGGCAACACATTGAGTAGACTAACAAACAAGTAGTACTTCCACTATACACATTGCAGAGATATTGTCGTGCTAACAAATATTACACTCTACAAATATACTTATGTAGAAAATTTGTGCATTCCGTAAAAGATGTAAGAAGTGGTACCTGTAATAATATTGGATTTATGACGAACATCGACATGGAGATATGAAGCGCGTCCAGAAGAAAGGGCATGGGAAAGGAGGGACTCGGAGGGTTCAAGTTGAATAGTGGGGAAAGAATCGGCGATTCGTACGATCCAATTGCCGAGTCGAAGAAGCCTATCGACAAGCGGTTTGCCGATGAATCCTCGACCACCGAACACAACGCACGTCTCAAACTCCTTACCTTCCTCCACAATCGCCATTGTTTTCTCCTCCTTTCCCTTTTCAACAAAGGGATCGACTTCTTTTAGAGAGAGAGAGAGAGGGAGAGGGGAAAGGGTTTTATTGAAATGGTATTGGTAGGGAATCGTTTTTTTAGAAAGAGAAAAAATAACGAGTTTGAGGATAGGGGCCTTATTGAAGACTAGTTGAAGTAGAAATGACGGGGTCTAATGCACGCACTCGATTCAAGCTCATAGATGCATACCTAAAATACATATATACCAAATTATGATATTAGCAATATACGTATAGGCTATTAATGCATGGATAATATAAGACTCAAAAAAGTTAGATATCGATTGTACATAGCCTTGTAATTTAGCAATAACTTATTTTATTATAATATTGTAATTTCAAGCAAGTGTTTTCAATAATCAAAGAGATTACGATTATGATTAGACATGACACGACTTAATTTTATCGAATATATGACTTAAGTTAAAAAGGAGTGGAGGTCGCGTATAAGGGTAGGAGGTTAGTAGGGGTAGAATGTTGTCTTGTTTTGCGAAGGTTGGCGTAATACTAGTCATATCCTTGTACTTTTTGTCGAATGTTATTTATTGTGTTTCGATTAGCACACTATTTGATAATGTTAATGTTTCTTTCTTGTAGACTTTATACTACTTTTCTTATTCACTGTCATGTTTTCTTCATTATTTTCTTCTTGTTGTACTTGGGTTTGATGCACTTGACCCGGAGTCTTTCAAAAACAATCTCTACCTCCACGAGGTAATGGTAAAGTCGGAGTCAGGAATTTCTGGCTCATTATATTACAGATGTCTAAACACACATTCTTGTATATGTGGTATTTTTTTTCCGACGAAGGGTGTCCAATTGAACACCCCGACATATATGTGCCTATGGCCCTGCCCTCCTCAAACCCTAATTACTATATATATTAATATTATGTGTGAAAATAAATATTCAACAAAATGACATTACTTGATAAAATATACCTATTGGCGTGAACATATTCATGACTCAAGACCTCTTCTAGTGTAAAACAAATGAGTCAAGGATACAAGTTACTTATATGTACAAAAATTAAATATTTATTTCTTCTTCTATAAATATTGGCATTGCTTTCTAAAAATTATGTGTACATCATTGATTTTATTGGTATGTTGTTGATGTTGTTCCTTGATTAAAATATTGAAAGAAAGTATAATTGGTTGAAATTATTAGTCGAGAGAAATCCAGAGTTATGACTATACTAAACATTCATGTATAGTATCATATTTCATTGACTTAATTTATTTATCTAGTTGCTAATTTACGGAGTTAATAATATGATCATGCTCTTCGGAGCCTCTAATCGTCTATCCATATTGACCTTATAACTACATCATTAAGCGGTGATGTAATAACCTAGCATGGGCGTACTATATAGTTATTTTCCCATTGTGTAACCAAGTAGTAGGGCTTTCTAGTAATATTCTTGTCCTAGACGCAAATCAATTCTTTATTTTACTATATTAGAAATACTACTCCACATATTTTTCGTTCTATCTCAATGATTTGTCTCCAAGTTTACAAAGAGATTATCCATTTACTTTAGGTGGAACTCATCGGTATCCCTCTAAAGTTGGCACGGATTTTCACTTAGACACCTCAAGATTGTCTTATATATTCTAAACACTTACACAACTTAAAATGTATATTATTAAACACTTTTTCGATAATCAACTAAATTATAAAAGTGTGTATATTACAATTTTGAGTGACGTAAATGAGGACATGTGGCATTTGAGTTTAAAATAATAATTAAAAAACTAATTTCATCAAAGAAAAAATAACAAAAAAATATTTCCTAAACCTCCACTCCACCTTCTATCTCGTATTCTTTTATCGGGTGCAAAGATCTTCTTCCCCATTTTATACAAGGAGTAAGAAATGAGTTTCGCCGGAAAAAAGTTGATAAATCCGTACAAACGTTACCGGAAAGATAAAGTTTTTATCAAAAAGTTCTCGAAAAACAGATTTAATTTCTTTCCTCGATGAACTGTTTTTCCTCTCTTTTGTTTTTGTCAACTTTGATTAATATGTAATATTTATTATTATTAAGTTACATTGATATAGTTATATGTTGGATTAGTATCTTGAACAAAAGTGTAGCACCCGTATATTTTAAGGCAACTAACTCGCTAACCTAAAAAGGTATGCGACAATAAAATTATATTTTTGTTATCTTACATTGCTTGTTGATGAGTTGTTAGGCGAATAAGGTTTTAAATGAATGATCAAGTATTACTTATAGTTCATCGCCATGAGTGTTATATCAAAGCTAGAGGTCCAAGGAAGCCTGGGAAAAATAGTACAAGTTAAAGGTTTCACTACGACAAGTTATTTTATATGATCAAGTATATGTTCTAAATTGGGACGAACATATATATCTCCCAATACATAAGGAGTTTGAGATCCTATTATATTTCAAATTAAAGTTATTTGAGTCTAGTCTCTAAAGAACAAAATTTCTCCTCAATCTCACTTTAGAGTAAAAAGATGTGTGTGTTTTACTTCGCTCTATGCAGAGTCCAAATTTATCTGTGATGGACACGTGACAACCACAAGTTAAGTCGGTCTGATATAATTAAATCAAAATTTTATGTTTTGGATTCATTTAATACAAATCCTAAGTCATTTTAAAATTTGTTCTTACTTGATTCTTCAGCCCTTCTCCTCTCCAAGAGCCCTAGTTGAATAAAATCAACCAAGAATCAAGTGTTGTTCTTCAACCATGCCTAGAATTCACTCAAGTCCCTCTTCGGATTAAATAGACAACCATTCTTCTTGATTAATACTAGTATATGGATCCATATTTTTTAAATTAAGGTATGATTATGTCTCATACTCTCGTATATGTGATATTCTTAATGTTCTAGCTATATTATACAGATAGGATTGACGATGATAAAAAAATTGTGAGCCCAAGTTTCTCCCATTATGATTGATGTGTTAGGTGGGGAGGGAGTGTGTGGACTGATATGGTAGCCGCTGGTAAGTGTTTTGGAGTCATAAATGTGTAGTATATTGTTGATAGTGATACGAAGAATTGGATACTAATAAATTGGTATCTTACCAACTTATTAAACTCATATTTATGAATTATTGCTATGTTTAAATGTTAACTGAGAGGATTTTAGGCCTTAGTTCTCTTATGTGCAAACATTCCTTGGAAAAATGAAGTTTTGAGGATTTGGAGCGTAAAACTATTGAAGCACACCGACGAAAGAATTGGCATTCCTCAGAAGTCATGAACCGGTGTCTCACAAGCTTAATGTCGTCTAGACGGGAAGGACATTGTCTCAGACATGTCATGACCCGAAACCTTGAATTATGAGGGTACCTACCATAACCTACCAATAAGTAAGATGATACATAACTCAGAATAACAAGTAACATGCATATTGGGTAGAAACAATAAGCGACAAGATACAACTAAAATAATTTAACGAAGCAATGGACAATAAGAACAACAAAAGATATATATACAACCAAAACAATTTAACGAAAGCAATGGACAATAAGAACAACAAAAGATTTATATACAACCAAAACAAAAAGATGACCTAGTAGTCACAAGAACAGAGCTATTAAAAGAGTATGAGTCTCAAAAGTGGACCAAAATTACAAATTTGTCTCAAGAATAAAAGACTAGTCAAACTATAAACAGAAGGAGACAAACTGATCGTGGACTCAATAAGCTTACCCTCGATCTCCGAATATCCCCACAGCAAGCTCGAAATCTACGTTGGTGACTAATGCTTGAATATACATCACAAAAATAGATGCAGAGTGTAGTATTAGTACTAAAAAAACAGGTACACAATAGGCATCATAAGTCTATTGAGCTTGAAAAGTAAAATGAGTAATAAAAGTAAGAAGGACAACAACTAGAGGTCACAGAACGGAACGACAACAGAAAACCTAACTATAAGTCACACAAGTCTAATAAAGGATAAATGGTAAGTCAAATAGCTATCTAAACAAATAAATAGACCCCTATAAGCCAATGGGTACACAAAAGAGATAAGGAAACTACTAGCTAAGTGTTAAGAGTATTCCAGAACTGCCACAACCATCCACAAACTTGAATAGAAGTAAAGGCAACCCAAGAACCCAATAGAATCACCAAATCAAGACTCAAACCTGACTTATAAAGGTGTAATCAGACTCAAGAGGAGGCTAAAATAGACGTGTCAGGGCCTCAAATTGTGACTAAAAAGGAACGCAGAGCCTCGAATCGTGGTTAAAAGAGGAAAGACAGGGGCCTCAAACCCTGGATGATAAATATGCACACGAACCTCAAGCTATAGAATAAACAGACTCTAATTACTTCTAAATCCTCTGCTCCTCTTCAAACTGGTAAAAATTGTATAGAAAACCCCCCCTTTAGAGTCACCAAGGACCTTCTTGTCACGCCCCGAGCCTACACCTTGGGCAGGATTGGTACTCGAGAACCACTGTTGGCCCCAAGCGAACCCTTATCCCGACTTAACTCATAGCGGAAGACTTAAATAATATGAAACAGTCTCAAAAGATAAACTCATGCAATAAACTTATAATGTCTTAAAAGAAACATTCAACTAGCCAAAATGGCAACTCAAGTCTCAACATCAATACTGAAAATGGGAAAAAACTCAAGAACTAACAATAACTAAATGTCTATGAAGCCTCTAACAACTGAGATGGACGTCGGGACAAGACCCACGACATCCTAATGAACTAACTGATAAAATAATAAAATGGGATCCTCCTCTGGAAGCAAGGAGGCTCACCAATAACTTTGAAGCTCAACAGGATCAACGATGCGCTGGATGCTAATCCTGGTTACCTGAATCTGCATCATAAAACTATATAGGCCAACTAACATCAGTACATTGAATGTACGAGCATGCAAGAGGAATACTAAAACAAGACATAAACTTGAAAGGAACTGATGGTCTCAACTCAATTCAACTCATTTCAATATAAAGCAATAATATAAATGCAATATAAAGAAAAGCCTTTAAAACATGGATAACAACTCTGTGTATTTAGAAATACAATGGTAACTCAGTTTGTATGCAAGGATACAAATTTAAACTATGTTTGTATGTGAAAATACAAGTAATC